CAGAATGCATGCCATCTTGGGGTGGGGGGAGGGTCGGGATGGGGTAAAAATTTGGAACTCAAAGTCTTGTGGAAGTAAATGTTGAAAACTAAAAATAAATAAATTTATTAAAAAAACAAAAAACAAAAACAAAAAAAATCCACATGAATATTTGGAATGGAGATGTCTCTAAATTTATGTATCTCATGTTGTTTTTGAAGTACTTCAATTCTGCTTTGAACATGAGGCACTGTGCCTATTTTGATGCAGGTGCTCCATGCTGTATGGTCCTGTTCCAGTGTCTCTTATGTCTTTAATTGCTTCCAAAGTCCTTCAGACAGACCTTGACAATGTCCAGGTAATGCTTCTTCTGACCTTTGTATGAGCACTTGCATTGTGTGAGTTCTCCTTGAAATAATCTTTCAGGCAAATATATGTTTGGGATTTGAACAATATGACAAGCCCATTGCAGTTGAACTCTCTGCAGCAGAGTTTTAATGCCTGGCAGTTCAGCTCAAGAAAAGACCTCATTGTCTAGTATCGTATCTTGCCAGGTGATTTTTAGGATCTTCCTAAGACAATTCAAATGGAAGTGTTTCATTTTCCTGGCATGGTGGTGGTAGACTGTCCAGGTTTCACAGGCATATAACCATGAGGTCAGCACAATGGCCCTGTACGTATTCAGTTTGGTAGGCAACCTATTACCTCTTCTCTATCACACTGTCCTTTGGAGCCTCCCAAACAATGAGCTTTTTCTGGCAATGCCTATATCAATGTCATCATCTATGTGTATATCCTTGGAAAGCATGCTGCCAAGGTAAATGAACTTATCCACAACATTCCAAGTCTGTCCATTTGCTTGAACTGATGGTTCCCCATATGGATGGTGGGGTGCTGGCTCATGGAGACCCTCTGTTTTCTTTTTTTTATTAATTTATTTTGATTTATCAACAATCACTTTGATAAGCTTTTAATTTTTAAATTTTTCTCCCCCTCCCTCCCCCCTTCCCTCCCCAAGACAGCACATAATCTGATATAGGAACCTCTGTTTTCTTGGTATTAATTGTCAGGGCAATACTGTCACAAGTGTCAGAGAATTTATCCATACTCTATTGCATTTCAGCTTCAGAGGCTACATTGAGTGCATAGTTATCTGCAAACAGAAAGTCACCAACCAATTCTCTCTCCACTTTAATCTTGGCTTGTAGCCTTTTCAAGATAAATAATTTACCATCAGTGCAGTAGCTGAACTTGATGCCATTTTCATCCTTGTTGAAGTTGTCTGACAACATTACTGAAAACACCATGCTAAAAAGCTTGGGAGCAAGCACATAGCAATTATGCTGACCTCATTGTTGTATGCTTGTGAAACTTGCAGGAAAATTGCACCGTTTCCATCTTAATTGTTTTAGGATGATTCTAAAAATCACCTGACTAGATAAGTTATGGTACAGCTCCTTTCTTGAGCTGAACCTCCAAACATTCAGACTCAACTCTGGGTTTAGGAAGTGAAAAGTTGATTAAGGGTATGGTGACTAATGATATATTTATAATAAACCAGTTGGTTTTAAAGTAGGTGATTACTTCTACTAGTTGCCTATCTATAAGCATTCACCTTCATCAAAATCCTAGTTCAGACTCTTGATTCTGTGATTTCTGGACATGTCATCTTACCTTTCCAAAACTGTTCCATCATCTGCAAATACAGGGAAAAAACAGCCTTTCAATTCACACCTCCAATGACTACTGCAAGGAAAGTATTTTGGAAAACTTAAGACACTAGATACATATGAATTATTATCATTTTTTCTCCATAAATCTGTTTTCCAGAGAACTAAACAAAAAGATGGTGACTGACTGATAGTTAATGCTTTCCTACCTGTTGTGAAGGCTATGTCTTTATACTTGAATTGACATGGTATATTACTTTGTCTGAGTTACCATGAAAACTGAAAGAAAGGTAATTCTTTTGATTATGGACTAATCATATTAGTGGCCCATTATGCTGCAATTCATTTATAATTTTCAAACCTAAACGTGACTTACCAGAAATATTCAGCATGAGTTTGATGTTATAAACCATTGGTGATAACATCCATACTCAGTATGGTGGAAAATGATGAAGGTGAATTATAATCTCTACAATTAGGGCTTTGTTACATTCCCCATGTTATATACCATTGAGTGAAGTTCATCATACACAGTTCACATGTTTATATACAAAATAGGTTGAGACACGAAGAGGAAAATATTGAAAGATGACCTCTCCCCATTTGCATCTTAACATAGGATTTTTTTATATGATCACCTCTGAAAAGGAAACAGAAATACCACAGAGAGAGAGTGTGTCTTGGTTGGGCAAATTTAACTGAGCTGTTGGGAAGGCATAGAGGATATCTTAATGAAGATATTCTAATAGAGGACTAGACATTTTCTTGCCCAAGATAGAAACTTTATTAAAGGCAGAGAAGAAAATTACTGAATCACCAGTTATCAGAAGGAAATATCATTCCACACTCATTTTACCTGGAAATCAATCCAATAACAATAATATCAACAATATAACAAATATTGGTAACATCTGAAGTGATCTCCTTTCTGCTGTCATGCTAAATAGTGGGGAGAAAATGTTTATGGCTCTGGCAACTGTTGAATTTCTATTGGGCATTCTGGTAAATGGATTCATAGTGCTGGTGAATTGCATTGACTGGGTCAAGAGCAAGAAACTGCCATCAAATGATCTCATCCTGGTCAGCATGGCCATCTCCAGAATTGGATTGTCATGTGCAATAATATGGAACATCTATTTAATTTTAATCTCTTTTAATGCACCCACTCAAGTAAGAATAATTGACATCTTCTTGGTACTGAGTCACAATTCAAATATTTGGTTTGCAACTATGCTCAGCATCTTCTACTTCCTGAAGATCACCAATTTCTCTAATCCCCTTTTCCTCTGGATGAAATGGAGAATTGACAGAAGGCTCTTCATACTTCTTATAGTGCCCTTTATTATGTCTTTGCCCATTATCTTTCCAGTGATGGAAAGAATGCGTTATTATTATGGCAGCATCCTTACTAGAGGAAAGGAGAGAAATGTGACCCAGGAGGTCCAAGTGAGTAAAAACAAGCTTATTATGCTCCAGGTTCTCTTTGGCCTTCTGAGTTTTATTCCCTTTACTCTGTCTACAATCTCCTTCTGCCTATTAATTTTCTCCCTGTGGAGGCATACTCGACAGATGCAACAGAATGCCACAGGTTCCAGAGACCCTAGCACAGAAGCCCATGTTCGAGCCATGAAAGCTGTGTCTTCCTTCCTCATCTTCTTTTTATTGTACCATATGGGTTTCTTTGTCAACTACTGGAGCCATTCAGAGGCAAAGAGTAAGCTGGCTTCCAAGTTGGGTATGTCAATCATGTTGCTCTATCCCTTTGGCCACTCACTGATCCTGATTCTGTGGAATAGCAAGCTGAGGCAGGCATCCCTCTGGGTGTGGCAGCAAGCCCTGTTCTGCCTCAGAAGAGGAAAACCTTAGCTTGAACAGCTTTGGAAAGTTGGTACCTTCTGCAGACCAACAAGTCAACGTGGAAGGTTTTTCTCATTTCTCTGCTTCTTCATTTAATGGAGCATCACTCATTGCAAGAGCTGTCTAATGTAGAGTTTATTCTGGGCACCTTGAGAATTCCTGCGACTCTTTTGACAAAGTTTAAAATGCTTCTTCTTCATGATCACATTGGGGGACATCATAGGAACAGAGTCATGAGGGATAGCAGAAGTCAATAGCCCAAAACACTCATTTTATAGATGAAAACATTCAGCATAAAGGTTGCTCAGTATCATACAACTAAAGCTATAAGAGACCTCAACGTGTCAAAGGATCATAGAACTAGAGTCATTAGGAACCTCAGATGTTGTCTTGTTCATTAAATTCATTTTACGGATTGGGAGACTGAGGAAACAGAAAGATCATTAGATCAGAGATATGAGACTAGACTGGATATCTAGTACCTAACTTCCACATTGCAGAAAAGAAATTGGAGGAACAGACAGGTTTTGTGACATATCTAGAGTCATGTTTATAGTTATTGCATGACTATGACCCTATGAGTCCAAATCTAGGACACTTCATATTGCACCACACAAGCCACATTTTTCAGTACTCTCTTTTGTCACTTTCCTTTTTATTCCTCAGATTGATCCTCTGTTCCCAGACCCTTGGTGTCAGGCATCTTTAGTACCCCACCTGACTCTGCCCCTTTAGTTCAAAATCAAACTTTTCCAACCTAGTGTTTTTGGAACTAGCTGAGGGCTTTGGACAAGTTATTTTGCTAAAGAGTAAGCTCATGTCAATGCTGATTGTGAACCAAGATAAACCCTGCTCCTCAGGTGACAATTGTAGTCTGATTTGAAGATGAGCAAACAAAAATCAGTGCCCTTGAGTGGGTGGTGGTAGACAACATTGCAAAATGGAAACAGTTCTTGCTCTCAAGAAAGGAAGAAGGCACATATGGCAGTACTTATCACCGAAATCAGAATGAATCTTATATTCGTATTGGAAAGATGGCAACTCATCAGATGTAAAAGCTCTAGAAAGGAATCTACAAGGGTGATGTGGATGCCATAGGAGGTACAAGGTTGTCACTGGAAAACTTTTCTCTGATTTCAAGTTTCCAGGAGAGCAAGAAGAAAAGGCATGCCCTTTTGTATAAGAAATGTCTATACCTAGTCCCAAATGGGGCTAGAATCCTCTTAACTGCTCTATTCATGTGTCATCATCTAATCATGTCAAGATGCCATCTTTCCAACTATAATTACCTTTTAAATAAACAATTCCTCTTCACCTGAATTTCTTGATTGTTAAGAATGGATTTTAAGGTAATGGAACATCTCAACAAGAATGGGGAATTGTTAGCCCCAGTGTGCCTGACTTTGACGGGACTGCATTTGGATGAATGTGTTCACTTCTGGATACTTTCTTTTCAGAAGAATATCAATACAGCAGATGATGGCCAGAGGAAGACAACCAAGATTATGAAAAGACTCAAGTTCATGCCCTCTGAAATCTGCCTAAAAGAAAGGGTGTAGAGCTGTAGACATATGGTCTGGAGAGGAAAGATTGCGGACATAATTACTGTCTTCAGAAAATTCAAGGATTGTCATATGGAAGAAGGATTGGACTTCTCTAGATTTTCTGCAGAGGATAAAATCAGAAGCAATAGATAGAGGCAGCAAAGACACAGATATAGTCTTTAAATGCCTAATTTTTATTGTTTTTTATTTCATCTGCATCTCCCAAAATAT